CTATCTCCTCCCTCCTCTCTCTCTCTCTCTCGCTCTTTCCAGCCAAAGAGGATAGGGAGAGTATCGTCCCGAGAGCGGAACGCACTTGATTTCCACTCGACTCGATCCACGCCCAGAGCTTTGAACCCGTTCGACTCGATCCAAAGAGAGAGAGAGAGAGAGAGATGAGGTCTCTCGAGTGTGTGCCAGTACCACAGCAGTGTCGAGTATAACCGCCGGTTAATTAACAATCGTGATGGAAATTGGGATGAATGTATCTCCACCTAGTTCCAAAATCCTTTACCCCTTCTCCGCTTTCCAACCCCTCTTTTCGATTCGAATCGGTGACGTGGTGATGGTGGTGATTTGAAACTGCAATCCACCGGTGGACAGGGCTCCAGGAAAGGGTCAAATGTTGGCGATGTTCGCTACGTACTCGAAACGTACAAAATTACGTAGTATTCGACGCTTTTACGCCGTCCCGTCCACGGGATTCAATCTCGATTGACGAAAATCGAGCTCGAGGCGAAGCGTAGTTTAAGTGGTCGAGGCTGTAAAGGATCGTTGTGGATGTCGTTTCGAGGGATGCATTTCCTTCTCTTACTTTCGCGTACGATCGTTCTTTCGACTCGATTCCTTTTCCCCCTCGAAATTTTATTCCCCTTTCAACCCTTTCGCTACAAACGACTTCTCCGCCGCGGTGCTCAATGAGCAAAATCGTCAACGTGATGAATCGCCTCGCGATTCGAGTTGCTTTGACAGTGTTTATTGAAAAAAAAAAAAAATTGACAATTTTATGCAGAGCAACTATAGTTGCCCGTATTACCTCAATCGTATCTTATGCAGAGCGACTATAATCATCCATAGTACCTCAGTGGCATCTTATACATAGCGACTATAGTCGCCCATAGTATTTCAATTACGTCTCGCGATTCGACATTGCTTTGACAGTGTTTATTGAAAAAAAAAAAAATTGACAATAGTATTTTATGCAGAGCAACTATAGTTGCCCGTAGTACCTCAATCGTACCTTATGCAAAACGACTATAATCATCCGTAGTACCTCAGTGGCATCTTATGCAAATCGACTATAGTCACTCATAGTATTTCAGTTGCATCTTATGCAGATTGTCGTCTGTAATATTTCAGTGGCATCTTTTGCAAAGCGACTACAATCAGTCATAATACCTCAGTGGCATCTTATTCAGAGCGATTATAGTCAGCCGTAGTTAAACATTTTTCACCCCCGAGATCCGGAGAAAGTGAGAACTTGTCGAAGAGAATCTCGAATCTCGAAACGAGTTTCTCCCTTGTGAATTTCTGTGCACGAAAACGGCGCAACGATGCGCAACCTATTAAAATTCCGTTCATCCTCGATATTCCCGGCGAGATCGCGCCTCACCTCCGCGGATCGAATAAAATTCCAGCCTCGTTCTGTCGCTGGTGTAATCGTTTCGACTGGTGTACGCCGGGAACGGGGAATTAATATTGCGTTTCGATCGCGGGAATAAAATACGGACGGCGGGTCAACGCCGACCTCGACCTCGAGAGTACCACCACCACTACTATTACTACTATTACCACTACCAACACTACCTACTCGTTTTCGAGGAGAAAGGTGGTTCGAGTAGAGAGATTGACTGACTGACCGCCTACGAACGGACTATCATCAAAGATCATCGAGGCTCGGATGGATTTTCGCCGGGATTAAAGTTCAATTAATCGTGCGTGATCGATGGTTGTTCGCCATCGACGTCAAAGGTCAAGCATTTGCTAATGAATCTGACAATTAGTTACCGAGATACGTGTTTAATCCACGGAGGGAGAGAGAGAGAGGAGGGAAGGGAGGAGGAGAGGCAAAGGAGAATTGGAATTAAGTTACCGCGAAATCGTGCATTGAATCGTACTTATTGTTTTTATCGAGGAAGATCGGTATTCACGATAAATCATCATCACGAATCACGGGGGGAAGAAGAGCGAGAGATTAAGACTCGCGACACGATCCCGTGGTACATCGATTATTATTACTCGATAAGAGAGAAGGAGAGAGAGAGAGAGAGAGAGAGATATTTGATTTTTGTCAGAGATCGATTAAACCGGATAACGAAGGGAATTATTCAACCGGGCGGGTAATTTCCATATTAATCGATCGTGTTTCGTTATTTAATAGACTGGTGATTATCCGCGGTCCCGAAGCTCTTTAATTACCGGTCAAACTACAATTAATAACCAATTATTACCTGGATATTGATATTTGAGTAATAAAATGTACGGAAGACATTGGCCGTTTTAAGAGGTGTAATTTATCCCGAATAATTCACGATCCATGGATGAGATTTTAATTACCTAATGGACGAACGATTTCGACGAGAGCCTACTCGCGTATAGCCATATATATACACCCATCCGTTCCACGTGATATTACGGTGATATTACGGGATTCGTAGTTTCGTAGGAAAAAAAAAAAAAGAAAAGAAAAGAAGAGAAAAAAGAGGATGGGACAGAAAGTGCAGGAAGCGGCGGTGAACAACTTTTGCATACGGTGACCAAATAAAGGAAGGCGGTATTCTTCCGCCTGTAGCGTTTGTCGAGTGACGATAATTCAACCGGTGACTCGCGTGCCCGTCCGATAACGCTGATAATTACGAAATATTACGGCCTCTTAATGGGCGGCTATTTTACAATCCATGCCGGTGGTTCTCGATTCCAAAGCGAGCAAAGTTTGCCGCCGATAAAGCGGCAGGCAACGTTTCGAATCGAGATAGGAAACATTGGATTTTGATCGAGCGCAGGCAAGGGTTGGTATCGCGTTCCCTAGAAAGAATCTGTAATCGAGTTGTTTCGAGATGGAATGGATCGATCGTTGGATCGACGGATGGGATGGGATAGAGAGAGAGAGAGAGAGAGAGAGAAGAGGAGAATTTTCCTCGACGAGGGAAATATGGGATCGTGCGTGGAATGCGTGGAAGGCCACGATGTTGCGTGCGGTTTCGTACTGGGTTAATCGCGTGAAACCAACGACGCAGAAATATTCCTTAGAATTCATCGTTCCCTGGAAATCGATACCATGGAATTCCGTGCGTTTCTCTTTTCCAACTTGCTACTCGTACGTAAATTCGAGTTTTACGAACCTAGTCGTGGAACGATCGGGTTTAATTCGCTCTCGCGGCTTTAGAACTGGTCTGAATTCTTTGGATTGATTACGCGCACAAAAAATGAGGAGAGGGAATGAGAAGATTGAAACCAGTATATCGATGATATGATAAAAATGGATTTTAATCAATTTATAATAGCTTTGGAATGGAATAGTTGTATAAAGAAAAAAAAAAAAAAGTAATCACCAGAGTAGCTAATCAAGGTGATCAACTTTGTCTCGGAAAAGAAAAAAAAAGAAAAAAAAAAAAATAAGCAGATATTAATCTCTGTAACAGTGTTCATGTTCGCATGTTGTACCTTCTTGCACAAGATAATAATTTTTCAAAGATAAACGTTCAACGGGGCGTAAGTCATCGGATTTTTCGAAACGCGATTCGACTCGGTTGTCCGACCGTGTCGTTCTTATTCCCCTTATTCCGCGTGGCAAAGAGTTCGTTCACATCGAATCGTCTCTCCTCGATATCCAATTTACTCGATTAATTACAATGATCGATCGGAAACATTGTAAACTTCGATCGATCGAACGAAACGGCGGATAGGTGATGATAGGTGAAAAATGCGGGAGTCGTTGTTCTCTTATCTGCGGGGACGATCGAATTCTCGGGAAAGCCGATTGAATTGTCCCGCCACGATGAGGGGAATGGTCGATCAGTTGTCCCGTGGTCGACAAGCGGGACGTGGCGGTACGCAAAATTTGGCTCGGCTCCACGGATTGTTTTCTTCGAATCGATCGATCAACGAAGCGGAGTGAAAGCTCGATGAGAGAGGGGTATCCGCTTCCCAGGGAAGAGACGAGTGTTTGCGTGTTTGTAATCGGAACCCGCGCACAGGATCTCGAAACGCTCGAGGCGCTTATTCGCGTATATACAAGTTTGCGGATCGCTCGGTTGATGCAGCAGCGCTGCCGTATGGATCCGCTTATGGATTCGTTGGACGGACGGACGATCGAGAGACGAACAATTACACTCGATCAAAGTGGTCTAGAAAGCCGGTGAAACTTCTTCTTCCTCCCGTTTTCCCGTTTTCCCCCGCCCCGTCTCTTCGCCGCGCGTTCAGTTGAGAAATGCCACTTGACTCGTGAATAATAATTTCGAGTGGAAGAAGAAAGTTTTTGTGCGGCTGAAGGGAACGGTTGAACAAGCGCTTCATTTAGACCGTCTAGACCTTATTGAAACTAACCAGTGAAGAGGTACTTAATCCGCTAATTAAATTCGGTGAAAAAATTCAAGGAAAAAAAAAAAAAAAAAAGAAAAAGAAGAAGCACGATGGGAGCGTGTGTACGCGAGATCGAAGGAACACGCTCTCGTTATTCTCGTCCCGATAGACGAGTTAAAAGGAAAAGATTGTTCGATCAATTCGATTAATTTCGATCTCTTTCTCTCTCGATTGATTTCAGACCGAGTTCGAGCCACAATGTCACGTGTTCCGGACGAAGCAGTTGCGCAAGCCGCGTCCGTGCCATTTGTGCCATCAGGCGGTGATCAAACAGGCATCGTGCTGCAGAGGTGAGTCGATAAGTTCATTCCCTACGGTGGGCTCCGTGCTCGGTTGGCCTGAAAGGATTCGGTCGGTAGCTCTGTCATAGCTGTGCACGGTAAAAAAGGTGTGGGAACTCCTGGCGGTAAAAATGTGGAGGGATATTTGAACGTTGATCGATTCGAGACGAGTCCAATCCGGAATAAAACTCGTCCGAAATAGATATCCGCCACGCGATGTCCAAATGGCAAATATTCTTCCTTTTTATCACGAATATCTCTCTTATTTAATCCCATTTCTTTCTTTAATCGACATTTCTGAAATTATTCCATTCTAACTTTTTTCGAAACGTTTTAAACGTTAATTTTTTCAACTAAATAGATCGTAATCGCACGTGTTATTAAGACTTTTGTCTCGTTTTCAGTGTGCAAGTACATCTGCCACAAAACCTGCGAGGACAAGGTGAGTAAACACGCATACGCAACACCTCCCTGACAAGATTTCAACCCGAACGAGGGGCAATTAGATGGTCCCCGATGCATCTAATTCTCACGAATTAGTGTACACGATCAGGCAGCGTCTTCTCGGAAACTTTGCGACCGCGAGAGTGGATACCTGGAGAGCCCTTTGCGCGTACACGAAGAGACTCTCCTGCCCTCGGTGCACGATTCTCCATCGTACTTCCTGGTGCTCGAACAAATCTCTCTCTGTGCCTCCCCCTCCTCTCAACCAACACGGTCCAACAAAACGTTCTTCTCTCCAACGAGCTCGAGCTCTCGATCTATCAATAGCTATTTCTTCTTTTTTCTTTCTTTTTTCAAAGCCACGCATAGCTTCAGTTTGCAAAACCGGAAGCACAGGACGGATAACCACTCGGCAGATGCATCTTAATTCGAGCACCGGCCACCACCGATGGTGGATCGACCTCTCGATCGATGAGATTCCCTCGGTTCCTCGAAGCTCCCGCTCGATACGAGCCACCTTCACAACCACCGTGCGAGAATCGTGGTGGCAGAACCGATTCTACCTGTGCGAAACGGACACGGTGTGGGTTCAGTCACCGGGCAGGGGGGCACGAGCCTTACCTTACTTACCTTACCTTCCTCGTATCTTGAAGTGCTCCTGTGTCACACTCGCTTCAACACACGCGCCTCAACGAACACGCACGCACACACACGCACACGTACGGTCGGTTAAACGCGGTTGGACACGAAGAGGAGCGGAAGGATGGAACGGTAGGCTGAGACGAGGCAGAGGAGAGCACGATTTCCTTTTGGAAAGTGGCGTCGTTTGTTACTTTTTCGCGGCGCAAAACGGTCCCTTTGATGTCCCACGTGTCTATTTCGACGAGGCGGAGAGGTTCCATTACCGGTCGGAATCGGTCCGGTTTGGGTGAAAGCGGATGGTTACGTCTTCGTTTAACGTTGAACACGCGGTACATCGGTCGCGAGCGTTGTCCCTCGCGCGTGACTTTCGCGCCGAAAGCTTGTCACCGGCCAATTAGGGGGATCGGGACTGGTATGACATTTCGACCGTCGACATTTCGAGAACGAGAGAGAAGAGGGAGGGGATGGGTATTAAGTTTAATTAGCGGGATCGTTGGGACGGATTATTGGGACGATCGCCAACCAGCGGAAAACCAGCTTCGATGTACTCGAACGTCCAGTTGGATCGGAGATAAAAAAGATTACAATTCCGGTCTAATTGGCGATTCGAGAGCTGTTTCCCCGATATTAACGACTGTGACCATAAAGGCGAGATGGGGGAGATCCACGAACGGATATACGCCCTATACCGATTTATCGATGATTCGATAAACCTCTTTTCCCGTGTTCCGTGATCGGTCGGATCGCGAGGATTTTAGGCTCGTTAATGTTTAGAGGCACGAGGCGCGCGTTTATTTCCCTTTCAAGGAAGGTACAAAAGCGAGCGGTGTTCGCGCTCCTTGGAGGAATTCCGCGTGGGTCACGTTTCCCCCCTGGAAACGTTTTGAAATTCGAGGCTGGCCACGGTGTTCCTTGGCAGCGTGTTGTCACGTGGCCGAGTCATCTAGAAATTCTGTTCGCGGTATCGTGGAGCATCAGCCTTCTCCTTATGACGGCATGATGTAATTTGTCGGGACTACTACCGAGAAACACTCGTTTTTCTTTCGTTCTTGAAACTGCTCGAAGCAAATGTTGAAACGATCTTCGTTTTCGAAACGAACGTATATCTCTCTCTCTCTCTCTCTCGTTCGTATTTATTGGATTTATATCGGATATATAAAGGCGCATGTTTGCGGAATACAATTTTTTTTTTTTTTTTTAAACCAACCAAAGTAAGCAACCAACACGGTTTCCATGCAACGTTGCAACGCTACCGTATGTTCGACCAAGCCATACATCACGCCACCTATCTCGCAAGATACGCGTTGGTATGTGCCTAGTAGAAGGTATTGATATCATCGTTTAGCCGGTAACGCTTTCCTCCTGGAATTCTCTTAGCCGGGGGAGAAGTTGAGAACCGCTAACGAACGAGCTAACGAACGACATCGTTCGTCGAATATGGAAAGGCCAGATGTTTCCTTGACATCGAAGGTCGCCGTCTTCCCTCTCTCTCTCCTCCCCCCCCTCTCTCTCTCTCTCTCTCTCTCTCTCTCTCCTCTCTCTCTCTCTCT